TGAGAATTTAAAATTCTTATTACAGTTTAATCTTTAATGAATTATTTCAAGTGTACTATACACTTTCCGATTATTTACAGAAATTCAGCATTAGTTATAAAGATATCCTTGGATTAATGTTAAATTCGAAATTAGATCGTTTAAGAAACGCGCTGCAAAGGAAAAGAAGGTTGGGATGCATTACCTTAGATGATTAGAAATTAATCCGTACTGCGTTACCCTAGAGGAAGTGAAGTAGAAAATAAGAGGTGTCGCCTTTACGATAAAAGGGACGATACTTCCGTTCTGACGGCCTTCATGGATCAGAGCGAATTCGGAGGTCAGATCGGAGTCAGATCGATGGGAGGCTGCCAGCCGGGCAACCTCGACCCCGACCCACCTCAATTCTCCATCTAGCCCAGGTATCACGGCCGGACCTTTTCTTCCAATCTCAGAAAGATTATAATAACATACTAATAATAATGCCAAAATCGCGCCGTTCGCATAATACATGCTGAAAATTTTCGAGTGATTTTAAATTCAATCGTGTTAAAGAAAATTATTTTTTTATCCTAATAAAATTTATATTTAATTGGATAATTATTTCTATCTTAACTTTGTTCTTTTTTCTTCATCAAGAAAACATTATCAAGTAGAAAGATTCTGAAACGAAATAGAACAAAATCCTAAAAAGATCGAGTGACAATAAAATAAAAGAGTATAAAAATATATTGTCATTATGCTAACGCGCTCGCGATTGTGAGAAATTCTGTATATATTATTTTATATATCTTTTTAAATATTAATTTAAGATTAATAAAAAGATTTTATACTCGATTATTAATTTAAAATTTCATAAAACTTTGATAAAATACTTGTGCCATTGCTAGAGACTTCTTTTACAAATTAAAGCAAAATAGCATTTTATTTACGTTCTTACTTATCCGTATATATTCTCCAAAATTATTCATCTTATATTGCATTTTTTCTTTTTGATCACTTTGTATACAATAATATATTGCATATATCGATTTATTCTAAACGCAGAAGATGCGTAATGAAAATACAGAGACCTATATATGCCGTAAGCTCTGTCGTCTCAATACCCATGTGACTTTGACATATTCTAGTTGAGGGACACGGCCACGCGTGGCAGCACCTTACTGCAACTCGTTTTAGCGCAGACTAGAACCAGCATTCGCGACAATGTATGCAGTTGGCAATATATTTGTCGAATTTTTATTAACTGTATTTCTCTAAATTTCTCGCGATACAAAATGATTTCAACTATTTTTGATGATAGAAGAAAAAACGAAATGTCTGATATATACATTGTAAAACATTTTCCAAAAATTTAGATACATTGTTGTCTGAATTTTCAAATCTGGATATTTGAAAGAAATTTCATACAATCTGGCTTAATCATCAAAGTCGTTTTTCTGAAAATTCAGAAGAATGTATCTGAAAATTGAAGTATGTTTGAAAAGTCAGACATTTCAGAAATTTCAGTCAGTTTTTTACAGTGTATTTAAGGATGTATGTGTTATATGTCAAAATATTGACAAAAGCATGAACATTTTGTAGACTGTTCTATTATTTCTTCTGAGTATCTGCGCAAAACCTGAGCACAATTCTCTTAACGATTTAGAAATTATTTAAGTTTAAATAAAAATTTAAGTTTAAAATTAGTATTGATTCTTATGGAAAATCACGTATTGTAGCATTTATTGACAAATTTGATAAGGAAAAAACATTGCCAATGAAATAAAAATTTTCGCATATATTAAGAAAACTCTAATAAATATTTGTGCAAAACTTGATTTAGATCTACTTACTCGTTTAAAAGTTATTTATTAAAAATTGTAGAAAAATATTATCTCTCTCTTTCTTTCTCTCTCTCTCTCTCTCTCTCTCTTTCTCTTTCTGCAAATTACTCGTTTTTTTTGTTTCTTGCAGTTGATCTCAGGGAGTATTCACAATCAAAAGTTTCTATCACAAATAAGAAAAATATCAATTACAACTATTTTCTTTTACCAAGATGTTAAAAACCATATTATTTTGTGATACTTGAATTTTTTTTATAATTCGGATTTATTTATTTGATTTTTCAAACAGTATAAACGTAAGAAATATGTATTTATTTTTAATTTTGACAGTTTTTTATTATTATTGTACAGCCAGAAATTATCCTTAAAGAGAAAACAAAACTTAATATTGCCGCAACGTTGCATTCGATGAACAAATAAAAAAAGAAGAAAGCCAATTATCACTTGTGCTGTCTTCGGAGCGATAAATCGAGCGGCACAATTTATCGATTTCTCGCGACGTGGTGACTTAATTGATTCCTTGGTGCACGCAGCGAACCGCGTCGGGAAATTTATCCGGCTGCGAGATTAACTCTGTTGCAGCGATGAATAATAAGCCGGGTAAAACCGGTTTGTGCAGCGCCGGTGATCCGCTTAATGCTTTTTTATAATTCGGATTTATTTATTTGATTTTTCAAACAGTATAAACGTAAGAAATATGTATTTATTTTTAATTTTGACAGTTTTTTTATTATTATTGTACAGCCAGAACATCCTTAAAGAGAAAACAAAACTTAATATTGCCGCAACGTTGCATTCGATGAACAAATAAAAAAAGAAGAAAGCCAATTATCACTTGTGCTGTCTTCGGAGCGATAAATCGAGCGGCACAATTTATCGATTTCTCGCGACGTGGTGACTTAATTGATTCCTTGGTGCACGCAGCGAACCGCGTCGGGAAATTTATCCGGCTGCGAGATTAACTCTGTTGCAGCGATGAATAATAAGCCGGGTAAAACCGGTTTGTGCAGCGCCGGTGATCCGCTTAATGCTTTTCTATCTTATTAGTGCAAATGCTCGAAGTGAATGGCGCATCGACGCTATTCGATATCCTCTCGCGAAATATCGATACGACTTGATGCTTGAACTCGACGTCCCAATTAATGAGCAAATGAAGCGGCACAGAAACACCTAATATAAATAAAGACAAAATATAACTTATGAATGACCACAGCATCTACTGGACGAGGCTGACGGTAATCTCTTGATCGAGGAATCGCTTCCGGGACGAATGACAAATAAGTATCGTATGTGTGTGTGTATGTGACATAGATCGATCTTGACCATGCTCGATCGTAATCCGATCGCGTTTTTGATTTTGATATCGCTTCCGTGGTCACCGATTGCGGTCGCGCGATAGAAAATTGAGGTTTACTGTGAGCATTTTTCGCGTATATCCAGACGTCATCCGACCTGTTTCGATCGCGTGCCGAATATAGGATGCCCGAGATAAATCGAGATACTATTCAGCTATAATAATATTTTCTTAAAATTGCACCGGAAGAAAAATTTTTTCAGTTTAACACGATTTTTATTTTTATTATTTATGTAAAATATTTAGATTGTTTATTTATGTAATTATTTTATTTACATCTTTGCACATTTTTATTTCTTACTGATTCTTTATCAAGAATCATTATTGTTTAGGGTATCCTTTGGCTCAAGCAAAGGATCCATGGTGGAAACCCTCGTCTACGAAACACCAGTGCAAGAGGAACCTGAGATCAATCATTTCCTGGACCACAACGGTCGTCTACCTCCTCCTATGATACCTGTGCCTGATACTGAGTAAGTAGCAATCATAAAGTTATTATCGAAATTCTATAAATTTTTTTGCACCGATATCTATACTTTTGACATCAAAAGTATCGCATTCTCTCTGTCTCATCTTATTTTTAAATAATATTTTATATTATTAAATTAAAATTTAACAGCAAGCATGTAAATTTGTTGAGATTGTGATTAAAAATTTCATAATTTATTTTAGATCTTTTTTTTCTCGAACGATTATATTTGAATATCAAAATTTATATACAGTATTAAAAAATTTTTTAAAAGGAGCACTGTTACATATATATAGGGGAAAGTAGGGTAAAACCGGGTACCTTTTTGGATTTGTCTTCCTACAAAAAATCTGAGAGTAAAAAGAATTTTGGCGACCGTTAGTAGCCTTTAGTGAACCTTGAACTATGAGAAAATAAGGCTAGTTGCCGAAAAAAAAAATTTTTGGTTACCAAGAATAACAAGATTTTGTGGAGAAGTCAAAGTACCCGGTTTTGCCCTATCGATAGTATACCCATTTGAAAATATGCAAAACACCGTGTAATTACAAAATCTAGATTTATTTTAATCAAAATACAATATAAAGATGTATTCGATTGATAAAAATCACAAATAAAGATATCCTCTTGTTCGACATTGCTGCAAGACTTCCTTATTTAACTTTTTTAAAATAATGATGGCGCCAATCTACAACTAATAACACAAGTTAGCCATAGATAGCAGCATTTATTACGAAAAAACAGAGTTACTCGGTTTGACCCGCCTACCCGGTTTTACCCAACTTCCTATATATTTTTTTAAATTAAAATAAGAATATAATATATACTCGTACAACAATATTATATGAATTTGTGATTTTTTACAAATTGTGATAATTTTGATTCGAGATAGACGAGAAAATAAATACTATTCTTAGTATATCAAACATGGCACAACACATATGCGTTGGTTTATTTTTCACAAGCAGATGGAGCTTCTTGTAAATTCGCGTCTCAAAGATTCGATCGCGGAAGTCGATTATCGTGGCAAATTGCATCCGCCCACGCGCGTTCGTGACGTGACATTATCCGGCGCACCCGGCACCGAAATAACACTCGTATGTATACGCATCGAGTAATACCAGATCGCGCGAAAATCGACGTCCGTAAATATCGAGTCGACTCGTTAAATCGACACCGCGCATAAAATCCATTGAGTTGCATTTCCGCCCCCGTTTAATTCGACAGATGTTCATCGTTTTATGTAACAGGATACTGAGTACGACTCGACGACGACGTATGCGAGAGATCAATGTGTTTTTCAAAATAATAAAAATATTTCTGTACAAAAGATTTATTTATTCTTAAAATAATGAAAAATAGGAAGACAGTGATGCAAAATATAGTGTATATATATATATTTTTGCTAAGTAATCCTTATATTTAATTGCACAAGATTTTGTCAATTAATATGTGGGTATTTCTCTGAGCTAAATTTTATTATATTCGACTGTTCCTAAAAAAAGGATGTGAAACGTATATCAGATTATAAAAATATTAATTAAATTATATTAATGTTATGTTTCTGAATGCCTGCGCCAGAAGATAGCTTTCCATTTTAAGCGCTAAATGCAGGTTGATTGCATTTTCTCGATTTGTAATCTGCTTGCCTAATATCATCATAAAGTTTCATTCAAATTTGTTTTAAATTTTGAATTTATATGTAGCTCGGTTTGTGTTAAATCCGATTATAACTTTTGTTATATTTATTTTCAATTTCTGCTAAATTTAATTATTGCCAGATGTATTAAACTTATCCGACCATTATCAACTTTTAAGGATATTTTGGCTGTACAATAGTAGCAAAAAGTTGTCAAAATTTAAAGAAAAAACATTTTTCTTACTCTTTATACTGTTTGGAAAATCAAATAAATATATCTGAATTATAAAACGAATTAAAATATGACAAAATAATATAGTTTTTAACATCTTTGTAAAAGTCAATAGTTGTAGTTAATATTTTTTCTAATTTATGACAAAAACTTTTGATCCTGAATACCCCCTAAAATCAACTACAAGAAACAAAAAAAACAGAGTAATTTACAGGAAGATTTTGGGTTACTATAAGTATTTTTACATTTTTTAGTAAATAACTTTTAAACGAGTAAATGGATCTAAATCAAGTTTTACATAAATATTTATTAGAGCCTTATTAATATATATGAAAATTTTTATTTCTTTGGCAATGTTTTTTCTTGTCAAATTTGTTAATAAATGCTACAATGTGCAATTTTTTTATAATTAATACAAACTTTAAACTTAAATAATTTCCAAACCGTTAAGAGAATTGTGTTTAAGTTTTGCACAGATATTCAGAAGGAATAGTAGAATACCGTCTACAGTCTACGAAATTTTCATGCTTTTGTCAATGTTTTGATATATGACACATCCTTAATTTCCGATCTACACTCGATTATACTTTTTCGCAAAATCTTCCGAATTACATTCTATGACTGCATGTATCAGGTATATAAATATGAAACCGGAATTTTTGTATAGAAAATACACATTTATTGTATGAAAATGATAAAAAATATTTTATTCGAAGTATTGCCCATTGCTAGCTATACATTTTTCCCATCTCTCTGACAATTTGTGGATGCCACGCCAAAAAAACTGTTGCTCCTTTGAGGCAAACCAGTCATCGAGCCATTTTCGTACATTTTCGTAAGAAGTGAAGTGCTGCTCAGCAAGTGCGTGTCCCATCGATGCAAATAAGTAGTAATCGGATAGAGCCAAGTCTGGTGAGTAAGCCGCATGCGAAAGTATTTCCCAACTAAACGCCTCAATCGTTCCCTTGACCGGTTTTGCTGTGTGTGATAGTGCATTATCATGAAGCAAAATCACTTTGTGTTGCCTTTTTGATATTCTGGTCGTTTTTAACGCAAAGCTTGATTCAAATCGATCATTTGTTGTCGGTAGCGTTCAGTATTAACGGTTTCGCCAGGTTTTAGCAGCTCTTAATAGATTTTCGGCGGTCTTCCACGTTCTTCGTTTCTCACGTCAAAATCGCCACTTTTGAATTTTTTAAACCACTCAAAGCACTGTGATTTACCAAGAGCATGCTCACCGTAAGCTTCGACAAGCATTCGATGCGATTCTGCAGCAGTTTTCTTCAAATGGTAACAGAAAATCAATGCTGTCCGCAAATCGTAGTTTCCAGGCACAAAATTCGACATGTTCAACGCTATTAAAAACTATGCTGTTGTACGAAACTTGTATTGTTGTGAGTTGAAAATCTTTATCAGATGGCAAAACAAGAAAATGGCGCCAATGACGCGGTTTGACGGTAACTACATTGACAGCTAGGGCCATCTATGGGCAAATTCCGGTTTCATATTTATATACCTGATATATTCCGGCCGTAACCTATATCACCTTTCATCGCGAAGTAAATATATCGGAAACGTTATTAGATATTCTTGACGCGAGCATTGCTATTTAACCGGATCAAACGATAATGATTGCGCCGTGCGATAAGTAGCCGACAATTAAAAGAAACGTGCGTGGGCGGAGATAATTCCCAGGAAAATACGTCGTCCCCCAGGAATGTAATTATATATTCTCAAAGATGACTTTGACCGTCTTTCTCTCATTATAGCTAGGTGTTTCTCCCAAGCAAAATTAATCTTCTACAAAAAGATCCGCTTTATTTCATGTTGGCTTTTAATTTTCAAGTATGCAAGTGATACGTTCTATTTAACACAAGTAATACAAATTATATCATCACTCGCGTTGCTTTAGTTTTACAATGATAGAATGAAGTCAATTTCTAGAAAAACATCAACTCTACAAGAGCTACAAAAAAATAAAATTTATTTCAAGAATTAAAAAAAAATTTAATTATAAATATAAGAGTTTTTAGTTTTACAATGATAGAATAAAGTCAATTTTTAGGAAAACATTAACTCTATAAGAATTACAAAAAAATTTAATTTATTTCAAAAATTAAAAAAAAATTAATTATAAATATAAGTTTTTTAATATATTGAAAGCTAATAAAAATGAAAGATGAATCTCTTGGGATATTTCAATTCTCTATAAAATTGTACAAAAAATTGAAATATAAATAGAATTGTAAAAAAAATTGACTGAGACTTCAGATACAAAGTATCTGCAGCTTTTTTGCAGACATATTTCAATTTTCAGACAAATTTTTCTGAATTTTCAGAGAAACGACCCTGATGATTAAGACACATTGTCTGAAATTTCTTTCAGACACTCAGATCTGCAAATTCAGACAAAAATGTGTCTGAATTTTTAGAAAAATTTTTACAGTGTAAAGGAATACATTGTCGATTAAAATCGGAAGCAATTTGACAGTATGATTTCGATGAACGGCTTATCGCTTCATAGCGATATTACGTAAAGATAAGATTACGATACGAGCGTCTTGAGACGATAGTTTGATATTGCCTCGTAGTCGTTCGATTAGGGGACCAGTTATTTTGAACCAATCCTTCTGGCAAGAACGACATAAAGTGCTAGCTGAACGATAGTTATATTTTTTTTTGTTTTTTACGAATCGACTCTTGCATCGATGAGATCATCGCTACTTTTTATGCGCGCGATTACATACGTTTTGCAATCACGCGCGTGTTTCTCACATTTAAAGCGTACGAGCCCCATCGGAAATTCGAGTCGCATAATTCGCGCGGTGAGTATCGCTACTAAATAATTCAGTAAACACGCTTCAACCCTTAGTTTTCCCTTAGTATCACTCACACTTCGTTTATTCTGCGCTTTGATATGCATTATTCGACGAATTTAGGTTTATGAACAAGTTTTTCAACTCTCGCATTTGAAATAATTATGACTATGTTTAATTTATAATATTTTGTAACGAATATAAAAAAAAAAGAAAGAAAGCGTAAAAATATACAAAAAATATTTTTTCTTTTCACAAATTGTCGTCAGAAAAAGATATTTTTCCTCTTTCAAAATGTATATCTGACGCTTTTTAAACGT